GATAGTCCTTGCCATTAGCCTCAGTTAATTACTACCTACTACATTTAACGACCAATAATTGCAGCATTTACCAGCTCTTAACCATTACCTTTATAGATTATCAATTGTAGTCAACGTTAATGGCGTATACATTCGAGCATCGTCATAAATAGCGAACGCTGATCACAAGAATAACATCTTGGTTTCTACGGAAACTACCTCCATAAATCATATAAATCTACGAACATTGTACGATCAAACGAAATATCATCAAATCAATATTATTGGCACAATCGAAATTACTCGAGCAATGTCGGAACTTATTTATCTCGCACGGCACAAAACTATCATCTCGAAAGCGGCAAAGGCTACAGTATCCAAATTAGCTGATTAGCGAAATGTCAAATTAAAAGTGAAGGAAAGTCTAGGAAAGATAAGAATTCCGCGAAGAAAAATCCAAGAAACCAGGTAGAACCACGTAAGATAAGGTCTAAAAGGAAATGTGTTTCACGTTTTAGTCCAGGAAGAGACGGTGATTGCAAGCAACGGAGGAACAAAGCCTGCCCGAACTTAACCTATTTAATGCGTACGAGGTCAAGGGAACGAGGCGACGTTCATCGTGCATTTGTCAGTTTGAACGACGGTGGCAACGCGAAGCGAGTGTTTCCGTTCCAGACAACGCCAAGCGGCAATCTGAAGATCATTCCCAATCAGGTAAACGTTTCGATCGATCCTCGAACAGGTTGACACTAAACCTTAGGAATATTGGCCTCAAGGCAGACGCGTAGTCGTTTTAGGTGGTGTTCGAATCGAAGAAGGTCAGTGTGCTGGTTGCTGATCCCAGGCACGCGAAGGTTAACGTCAAGGCCGAACTGAATAGAACCGGAAACGAGCTCGGTGAACGGGCATCCGAGTCCGCGACGCGACCAGGGCTCATCGATCTTCCGCTGGGTGTATCGTCATCGACAATCGATCAGTTGCATGTAAGCTCGACGTTGTAACTTTCGTTTGATGTACACCGGTCAATACCGGTAGTTTCGTTGAAACTATAGTAGTTTATTGAGAAGTTGGGAGAAGTTTCGAGACCTTTTATTTTCTGTAATACAATTACAGATGCCTTCAGATTTAGATTCAGATTCTTTACTTAAATTTTTCCTTATGTTTCACAAATATATCTCTTTCGAATAAACGAATATTTCAACTTTTGAACGATGGTGTATACAGTAAAAGAATTTAATCGATATTATATATTGGAGATCATACAAATTTTGGTGACTTTCAGAATCAGAAAAATTTGCCATCTACGAAGGACGATTACAAGCCAACGTTATATCCATTTAAAGGGAAGTTCAGCCAAGTGGAGACGATGGAGCACAAGCAACAGTCAACGTCGTCAGCCACTCAGGAAATAGCAGTGTTACAGGAGGTGCCACTTTCCACGTGAGTTTTATTCGCCGATCAAACCAAAACCGTGCTAGCCACTTTATAGCCTCGATCGTAATAAAACGAGGAGCCCCAAGTTGACGTAACCTTGCAAGGGAAAAACAAAGTTTTATTGCCGCGAGTAGCAAGAGTTTTCCATAAAGCGACTCGGCGTATCTCGTATCTTTCGCTCGATCGTAAGAAAAGCGTACACACTCGACAAACCGTTTGATCGCCGTGTAATCTGCGACAGACTTGGATTTACGAGCGAACAGCCGATCGATTGGGACAACATTATTCTGCCGGAGAAGACTGACCTGTATCAGGAGTTGGCCAGGCGTATCACAAATTACAAGTAAGCTTATTAGGCTTAGTAGCCGGTTCGATTGCGAACGAAGTTCCGGCATCGGCACGCCACTATCACTGCAACACCGGCTAAATTTCAATTCGATCGATCATTCGAGGAACGCCGACTGTATCGTGCGAATCGATCACGACGAGTTCTATTGCCATCTGCTGGTGCTACAGAGCTACAGCAGCTTTTTCGACGAGAAGAATTGCAAGGAGATCGATCTGACCGAGGTAAGTTAACGCCATCTTATTTCTCGACTCTGCTGGGAATCGTTACTCGCGTAACCGTGTATCTTTTCGTTTGAGAAGTTCAATTTATTAAAGAGATTCAATTTACTGCTTCTGTTCTGTGATGTAGAAGACATTATTATTATGGCTGTCTAAGAATTTGACGGACCTTTATGTTTGTTCGGAAACTTCGATTTAATACTAACAGTCGTTTCTGTTTCTACAAATAACTTCGGAATAATTAAAACTAGATGAATGTCAATTAATTTTAAATGAACAACTAGGTAATATTATGAAACGAAAAATACACTTTCATTGCGTTTGCAACACAATATCTTATAGAAATTAAATATTCTGTCCCATGGACAGTTTCACGTGGTAGTCGACATTTTAATTTAATCATCTAGAAACTCATATCGAAGAATCTTGAAATCTATTTATTTCCCTTTTCAAATATCAACTATCAATTATCTTTATGTTATTAGATTTTATTCGGTAAATTATCTCGCTTGAGATCATCGAATCTTCTCAATAACCACGGGATATCCAGCGCAATTTACTTCCACTCCCCGCCGATCCTGCAAGCAACAGAATGATCCGCACGATTTTTCTTCCCATCTATACTGGGAATACTGTCGTTTATTCAGAAACTGCGTGGGCACGCGAACGAAAGTCTTCCGCAGCTTTCACGAGCAACCAGACCTTCGTCATCGATCTTCGTCTCTCAACGAAGCGCGTTAAACGAGTCGTAACCACGGACCGCGAGACATTCCTTCAGGCAATTGATATCCTTAACACTACCGTATCGTTCTACGATTGCAACGCGATAGCGTTGAATACACCCCATCGGGAATTTATTATTCGACAGAGGCGGAAAACGACGCTCGTCCCCCTTGAGTTTTCCACCCTTAGAAAAGGAAAAAAGAAAGAGAAATAGCACGACGCCACATTATACTCGCTCACGCTGGGAAAGATATATTACGGATTTATCGGTATACAGAACAGTCTAGCGAATCCGGAATAAAGTCCTTTTGTTCGCACGATCCGATTTTCCGCCTGTCCTGGATACGTATATCTATGGTCCGTGTTCGATCGTCCACCAGTCAGTGTTCATCTTCCCCTTTCAACTGTTCTCTACTTTCTTCCTTTTTCTGTTCGCTCTCTCTCTCTCTCT